AGAAGGATCTTCCGGAGAGCATCAGTGAAATACTGAAAGGTATGAAAGACATTGTCAGCAAAAGACACAGACCATGAGCAGGCTACCACTGGGGATTTAAATGCAAGTGAAGAAAATATTGCAGGAAAAATGGAGGAAGAGGGTTCCTTATTATGTAGTAGCAGAAAGTCTGACGATGTGGTAGCCTCTGGTTATATGGAAAATAGAAAATGGACCAAATAAACTGGGTGATCTAGCTAAGGAGATATGCAGGTAGAATGATGAAGGTGTTGTCTGGTTTATTCTTATTACTTATATTAGAATGAAAGAAGAGAAAAGCAAAAGGAAGAACTGATAAACATAAAGGTGCTAGAATTTGCTGGGTTTGAAAATAAACCTTTTTCTCACTCCCAACCTTTTCAGTCAGCAAATGATGCTCACATTAAGACATTTCTTTTTGGCAAAGATCAAATTTAGGACACAGAAAAACAAGTTCTAAAGATAAAGCCAAGGGTGTGACTGTAAAACCCTTTGTTCAGATCTCAGAAAGCTCTAAGACAATGCCACACAGAAACTCCAGTCCCACAAAAGGCCCTTAGATTAAAAAGCATGCCTCACAGAGCCTTTAGAAGGTAGATGCCAGGGATGCTGCTAAACATCCTACACTGCACGAAACAGCTTCTTATAACATAGAATTAACTGGCCCAAAATGTCAATACTCTCAAGATTGAGAAACACTTCATTAGAATAAACCAGGAGGATACAAACATTGCCTACTTATTTATTTTCCACCTCCTTTTGAATAAGATTTGAGATACTGATGCATTTATGTTTCTGTCCTGTCTGCTTCACAGAGTGCTTTGCACACTGAAGGTACTTAATAAGTGTTTCTTGAATTGAAGAAGTGTTAATTCTAGACAAATAAGATTAACATAAATTATAAAGTACTGGAATAACCTGGAGTCCCAAGTACTATTTCCATTTTAGCCATTAACAAGTTATATTTGCTTATCCAGGTCATATTCTTTCTGAGCTTCAACTTTTCATCTTCACAAAATTAAAGGATTTAACTAAATGACTATCAAACACACAAATGCCTATTAAAGTTGTGAAGTACTGGAGAATATAAAGATACAAAACATAAGAACTCAGAATTCAAGAAAATCTAGGAGAGAAAACAGACATTTTACAGATAATTTTAAAAGAGGATAATCACATTAAAATATAAATAACTGTGGATTGCATGTCTCCCCCAAACTCACTGAAGCTTGATTTGTATTCTAACAGTATTAAGAGGGTGGGGGAAATCCAATAACGGTGTTTGAAAGGTGGGGCCTTAAAGAGGTGATTAAATTTTGAGGATTATGCCCTTGTTAATGAATCGATCCATTCATGAAGTAACAGGTGTGATTCTGATGGCTTTAAAAGGAGAGCAAGTGAGGAGGTTAGCTTGTTTTTGCTTAGCCCATTCTCACCATGTGATACTCTGGTCACCACGGGGCTCTGTAGAGTTTCCAATAAGAAGAAGGCCCTTACCAGATGTGTTCCCGGGACTTAGGACTTCCCGGCCTCTGAAACTGTAAGAAATAAATTTCATTTCTTTATAAGTTACCCAGTTTCAGGTATTCTGTTATAAGCAACAGAAATGGACTAAAATAATGACATATAGCAGAACAGAATGGGGCAGTCTTTTCTTCGTTAGAATCTTCAAATTCTAGAACAGTAGCTGGCACATAGAAATTTCTCAAGTAGTATTTGTTGAATGATCAAAAACACCTACAAACCTACAAATGAATGAACCAGTGAAAAAGAAAAATTAAGCCTATGCAGCTGGGGACTAGGGATGGGAAGGTAAAGCAAAAAAACAAAACAAAACAAACAAACAAACAAAAGGCATGAGTAGAGTTCTGCTTTCTTTGTTTTTGTAATTAATAAAGAAAAAAACAACATAAAGTTTTCATAGGCCATGAACAGTAGATGAATACTGATTTTTGAAAGCCAAAGAAAATAAAGAAGGAATCTGTTGTGATGACAATGAGTAGGTAGGTCCCAGCCCAGGAGGACAGAAGAAAAATCTCCAAGAGTCTAGCAAGGAAGATGGGAGTATGAGATCACCATACAGTTGAGAAGATTAAACAGAAGGGTTGGGATGACCAGATGCATGGTTTGGAGAGGGCAGGTGGGGCTGGAGTTCAGGAGGTGGAAAGTGTCATCATCTAAGTAGAGGTTTTTCTAAGGTTCTTTCTAGCTCTGTAATGCCCTGAGTCACATAATGGGCCCTCTATCTCACTGCCTCCCCTCCTCCAAAAAATATTTCTACTCATCCATAAAGGTAAAAAATTAGAAAAAATAAACAGGTAGATAGATATATAAGCACTTCAAGTGCAAGATTTTCACAACTGGAAATACAAACTTTATTTTGCAGATTTGCAACTATTAAGAAAAAAATTTAAAAGAAATTCAAAGCATTACCCCTGAAATACCAAAGAAGCTTCAATTCCAAACCTGCTTGAATGTTCTGAAAAGACTGTGTTACACCACCTAATAGGCTATGATTCCTGAAAATATTTCAGAATGGGATATTATAACTTTACCATCCACCAAACTTTATTTTTTAACCTTCTCATAATCATAGAATTAATAGCATGATTACCCACAACAATAAATAGTGCTTAAAAACCTGGCTTACTTAAAACAAAGAGGATCTCAAAAGCAAAACTTCTACTGGTCAGCAGTTCAGGGTAACACAAATGTGCTGCCCTCCATGGAGCACTTCTTCTAAATTCCCAAGGTAAGGAGCGTCAGGATGTGAATAAGAGCACTACAGCTGTATGTTCTGTAGCAAATAAACCTTCATTTTCATTCAAATACTAAACAAATTCTTTTAAGATATTAAAAATCTCATAAATTAGAATAAATGTATGCTAGGAATTTGCCTGCTTAAATGGAACGAAATGGGAAAAATATACTTTAAAACAGGAGTAATACAGAAAAATACATATTTCTAAATATATATATGCAACAAAAATACATTTGTTTTTACCTTAAATGTCAAATAAGTAAGGACTACAGGCCATTTGACAGAAGAATTTTCTCGTATTCCTGAAGATCTGTTTTTCCCCTTCTTTAATATTTAAGAAACATACACACAGGTTGCCGACAACTCTTAGAGAGCGGCTTGTGTTGTAGTTTTCACTTTCTCGGCTGTGAACAAGTGCATATGTGAGGGCTGGTTGTGCATGCACAAGCATGTACTTTGCCTGCATTAAATAAAATCACAACACAACACCAAGTACATCCACTCATTCATGTGTGCCTGCAGTCCACCTCGAGGAGACTGAAAATATAAATACAAGCTGCTATTTTGGTGTGATCACACGAATATGGCAGCTTGTATTTTTTTTTTCTCTTTAACATTTTAACACTGGGCAGATTGTCTGCATTAACACACACCAAAATCAATTCTGCTCTGAAATTGCTTGTAAAATCCTCCTCCCTTGAGGAATTTGGTTTTTATTTAAATACAAAGTGGGCTTGGAGGAATCTGTATAAAAGATAACAACAACATTTGGGATACCCTAACTTTGTAAAGTGTGACAATCAATGGACCAAAGTATTGGGAGTCTTTCTTCCAAAATGGGAACTAAGGGGAAAATGTTCTTTATCTTAAAAAAAAGAAAAAAAAAAAAAAAAAAAAAAAAAAAGAAAAAGTGTGGTTTTTGTATCAGCTATATAGACATCACCTGGGAACTTGTTAGAAATTCAGAATCTCAGGCCCTGACCTAGATTTGCTGAAAGGAAATCTGTATTTGAATAAGATCTCCAGGTAATTCATAGACACATGAATTTAAGAAGCACCAATTTAATCTATAGAACATTTATTGTTTATCTAAGAAGAAAATTGTTAAGTAGAGAGTCCTATTTTGATTGGCAACTCTGTGGTGGCATCAAGGACCCAGACTATTATCTCCTCCTGGTGGTATAATGGCTGCTAAAGCACTATGCATGGTCTTCTCTCCTAGCTGCATTTAAATACAAAATGGAAAGTACCGGAGGCAAAGGACTTTTCTCTTATGTGACTCTCTTTTTTTTTTTGTAATTAAGGGATAATTTCCCGCTCAGAAGGCTGCTTACAGGCTTCCTCTTACTTGTCATCAGCTAGGTCTTTGTTACATACCTACACATTAGGCCAATTAATGGCAATAATAAATTCCTGGCAATAATAAAGGTCTCAGTTGCCTTTGGTTTTGACAAATGCTGTCTAAAAGAAATATAATGCTAGCTATATACATAATTTTAAATTTCCTAGTGGCCACATTTTTTTTTTAAAGAAAGTAAAAAGAAAACAGGTGAAATTAATTTTAACATATTTTATTTAACCCATATATCCTTACTATTATCATTTCAACATGTAACCAGTATACAAAAACTATCAATGAAATGTTCTATAGTCTTTATTTTATACTACATCTTGGAAATTAGGTCTGTATTTTATGCTTATTGTACATCTCAATTCAGATGCTAAATGTTCATCAGATATACTTGCTCTGTATTTACATCTCATAAAAGTCACAATTGAAAAAGTGTTCACACACCTAAATCACTACAGGTATAATTAATAAAACTTTTTGAATAACCAAATCAGTATCAGATTTTAAATTTAAATTAATAAAAATTGCACTGGCTTTCCCGGGCCCCAGCTTGCAGATGGAAGATAGTGGGACTTCTTGGCCTCCATAATCGTGTGAACCAATCCCTCATAATAAATGTCTTTCTGTATCTCTCTCTTTATCCTCTTGGCTCTGTTTCTCTGGAGAATCCTGACGAATACAGCAGCTAAGTTTGAGAACCACTGGCCTAGACCAATTCTGACCCATCCTCTCAACTCAGACACATTGTCACCCAAACAATATTGTAATGGAAACTCTTGGTGGGTGACCAACAGTGGTTTCCATACTTGCTTCCCTCTAGCCTATGGACAGTTCCAGCAGGGTGAGGGGTCTGACTGGAATCTGCTGTACTTGCTGGAATCACACATTCTTGAGGTTTCTTTATTCACTCGCTTGCTAACTCTTTCCTCTCCTTCCCAGTTGGCAGTTTCCCCATTGACCACCTTCCTCATTCTCCCAGGAAGCTGACAAGTTGGGCTCCTGCTGTGTGATCATACATACTCAGACCCAACCTGGAAGGCCATTAAGGACTGCCAGTTCCTTCTAGCTCCTCGTACCAACTCCAGCCCCAGTGAAAGTGTGTGTCCCTCTCTTGTTGCTAGACTCTGCGTCAGTGTTTAGTAAACAGTGGCCTTAATTCTTCCACTTCCAGATGGCATCTTGTGCATTTTCAGTATTGATTTCCTTCAGGTGTTCATAATTCTGCAGTCATTTTGCTTATCATGTTTTGCCTTTTCCTTGATGATAAATTCAGATGAGGTAGGCATGAAGTCTGTTCATGTAAAGCAGATCTGAATCTATGAGCCTGAACTTAGATGTGATTTTATGACCATATTTGGGTACGTTGTAAGCTGCCATGTGCACTTCTCAGAGTTCCTAGAGACTCAGAATGTGCACATAGGATTGTAAATTTACATGTTTCTTTTGCAAACCAGACGTGCTAGGTTTCTCTTCTCAGGAAGGAACTTTAGCAGGACATACTTGAAAAAAATAAAAACTCCTTTATTAGGAATCTTCAATGGAGAGGCTCTCATCAGTACAAACAAAGCCATGTTAGAACAAAAGTGTGTTCACTCTGCCTCACTCTAAGAGATGGTGTTCATGTCCCTTGGGCTCAAGAACAAAGGAACTGGCCGACAGCCTTTTGAAATCTAACCTGTTTCTTGGTAGAGAAGCTTCTGTACAGGATACATTTTTATGGAGAATAATTGCTGTCAAATCTAATGAAAGGACTTCTCTAAAATTTAGGCTGTGTAACATTTAGGCCGTGTAATAAATAAGATAACAGTATATTAGTCTGTATTTATTTGATGATAACTAAATTTTAAGAGAAATTCTATCAGTTTCTGGAAATATTATTAAAGTTTGAATGTTTTTAGTCTAAATTATATTAAAAAGCATGTGAAGACTGAGTGCTTGGAGAAATAAGAGCTAAATCAATTCTTCAGCTTACATTTGAAAATTAAGTGTTTAAACTGTCTAGATTCTATGATAAAAAAGTCTCAGGTTAGGAAATATAATTTTTGAAAGTTAAACTTGTGATGTAGGATTACAAATGTTATTAAATCTTATTAAAAATATATCATATTTACATAATTCTTCTTTGATACTTATATTGAGATTAAAAATGAATATGGTAAAGTCCCCATGAAATTTTTGGATGTTTATTATAGGTGGCACAAAGGCTATTCAGATAAGTTCCCTTAGAACTATGGTCCATGTGGCTCAAAGTATGTGTACAACAGCAAAACGGTAAAAGTGTACTGTCAACTTTCTAGTATTAGAATTAAGAAATATTGGGCTGACCTGTGGCTCACTTAGGAGAGTGTGGTGCTGATAACACCAAGGCCACGGGTTTGGATCCCTATATAGGGATGGCCAGTTAGCTCGCTTGGGAGAGCGTAGTGCCGACAACACCAAGTCAAGGGTTAAGATCCCCTTGAGGAACCACATCATATTTTGGAAGGCCAGAGAAATTTTGACTGTTCTGCAGTCAAACACTCTTTTCAGTAAAAGAGGGAAAGTTAATAATTAAATACATATTATATCTAGTAAAATATATATTTATGCCTTTGTGTGTAGTGAAATACAGTACATCTAATTTACCCAACAATACATATAATACATGGGTTTGTTGTGCTTTGCTGTGTTCATAGCACTTTCATAAATAATCTCACCATCCTTGTGGCCTTAGGCAGAGTTCATAATACTTTGGTCCCATTTGCCAGATTTGAAAACAGAGACTCAGAGAAGATCAATGTAGACTCAAAGTCAACAGAATGGTAGAATTAGAAGTTGTTGTTCTTATTCATCAGCATCAGTATTCTTTTCACTGCATTATGCTGCCTTCTCCTTTGTTAGGGCCCTCAGTC